CCCAATCAAAAGACACAGGCTATCAGATTGGATTAAAAAACAAGACCCATCAATATGCTGTCTGCAAGAGACTCATTTTAGACCCAAAGACACCCCCAGATTGAAAGTGAGGGGGTGGAAAACCATTTACCATGCTAATGGACACCAAAAGAAAGCTGGGGTGGCAATCCTTATATCAGACAAATTAGATTTTAAAACAAAGACTGTAATAAGAGATGAGGAAGGACACTATATCCTACTTAAAGGGTCTATCCAACAAGAAGATCTAACAATCGTAAGTATCTACGCCCCTAACATGGGAGCAGCCAATTATATAAGGCAAATAATAACAAAAGCGAAGAAACACATTGAAAACAATACAATAATAGTGGGGGACTTTAACACCCCCCTGACTGAAATGGACAGATCATCTAAGCAAAAGATCAACAAGGAAATAAAGACTTTAAATGACACACTGGACCAAATGGACTTCACAGACATATTCAGAACATTCCATCCCAAAGCAACGGAATACACATTCTTCTCTAGTGCCCATGGAACATTCTCCAGAATAGATCACATCCTAGGTCACAAATCAGGTCTCAATGGTACCAAAAGACTGGGATTATTCCCTGCATATTTTCAGACCACAGACCACCATTTCAGAGTTCTTTGAAACTAGAACTCAATCACAAGAGGAAAGTCGGAAAGAACTCAAATACATGGAGGCTAAAGAGCATCCTACTAAAGAATGCATGGGTCAACCAGGAAATTAAAGAATTAAAAAAATTCATGGGAACCAATGAAAATGAAAACACAACTGTTCAAAATCTTTGGGATACAGCAAAGGCAGACCTGAGAGGAAAGTATATAGCAATACAAGCCTTTCTCAAGAAACAAGAAAGGTCTCAAATACACAACCTAACCCTACACCTAAAGGAGCTGGAGAAAGAACAGCAAATAAAGCCTAAACCCAGCAGGAGAAGAGAAATAATGAATATCAGAGCAGAAATCAATGAACTAGAAACCAAAAGAACAGTAGAACAGATCAATGACACTAGGAGCTGGTTCTCTGAATTAACAAAATTGATAAACCCCTGGCCAGACTTATCAAAAAGAAAAGAGAAATGACCCAAATCAACAAAATCATGAATGAAAGAGGAGAGATCACAACCAACACCAAAGAAATACAAACAATTCTAAGAACATATTATGAGCAACTCTATGCCAGCAAATTAGATAACCTGGAAGAAATGGGTGCATTCCTAGAGATGTATCAACTACCAAAACTGAACCAGGAAGAAATAGAAAACCTGAACAGACCTATAACCACTAAGGAAATTGAAGCAGTCATCAAAAATCTCCCAACAAACAAAAGCCCAGGGCCAGATGGCTTCCCATGGGAATTCTATCAGACATTTAAAGAAGAATTAATACCTATTCTCCTGAAACTGTTCCAAAAAATAGAAATGGAAGGAAAACTTCCAAACTCATTTTATGAGGCCACCATTACCTTGATCCCAAAACCAAAGACCCCATCAAAAAGAATTACAGACCAATATCCTTGATGAACATGGATGCAAAAATTCTCACCAAAATACTAGCCAATAGGATCCAACAGTACATTAAAAGGATTATTCACCATGACCAAGTGGGATTTATCCCTGGCCTGCAAGGTTGGTTCAACATCCGCAAATCAATCAACGTGATACAATACATCAACAAAAGAAAGAACAAGAATCATATGATCCTCTCAATAGATGCAGAAAAAGCATTTGACAAAGTACAGCATCCTTTCTTGATCAAAACTCTTCAGAGTATAGGGATAGAGGGTACATACCTCAATATCATAAAAGCCATCTATGAAAAACCTACAGCGAATATCATTCTCAATGGGGAAAGGCTGAGAGCTTTTCCCCTAAGGTCAGGAATGTGGCAGCAGGGATGTCCACTATCACCACTGCTATTCAACATAGTATTAGAAATCCTAGCCACAGCAATCAGACAACAAAAAGAAATCAAAGGCATCCAAATCGGCAAAGAGGAAGTCAAACTCTCACTCTTTGCAGATGATATGATACTGTATGTGGAAAACCCAAAAGACTCCACCCCAAAACTGCTAGAACTCATACAGGAATTCAGTAAAGAAGCAGGATGCAAATTCAATGCACAGAAATCAGTGGCATTCCTATACACCACCACCAAGACAGAAGAGAGACAAATCAAGGAGTCGATCCCATTTACAATTGCACCCAAACCATAAGATACCTAGGAATAAATTTAACCAAAGAGGCAAAGGATCTGTACTCAGAAAACTATAAAATACTCATGAGAGAAATTGAAGAAGACACAAAGAAATGGAAAAACGTTCCATGATCATGGATTGGAAGAACAAACATTGTGAAGATGTCAATGCTACCCAGAGCAATCTACACATTCAATGCAATCCCCATCAAAATACCATCCACTTTTTTCAAAGAAATGGAACAAATAATCCTAAAATTTGTATGGAATCAGAAGAGACCCCAAATAGCCAGAGGAATATTGAAAAAGAAAAGCAAAGCTGGCGGCATCACAATTCCGGACTTCCAGCTCTATTACAAAGCTGTCATCATCAAGACAGTATGGTACTGGCACAAAAACAGACACATAGATCAATGGAACAGAATCGAGAGCCCAGAAATGGACCCTCAACTCTATGGTCAACTAATCTGTGACGAAGCAGGAAAGAATGTCCAATGGAAAAAAGACAGTCTCTTCAACAAATGGTGTTGAGAAAAGTGGACAGCCACATGCAGAAGAACGAAACTGGACCATTTCCTTACACCACACACAAAAATAGACTCCAAATGGTTGAAAGACCTAAATGTGAGACAGGAGTCCATCCAAATCCTAAAGGAGAACACAGGCAGCAACCTCTTCGACCTCAGCCGCAGCAACTTCTTCCTAGAAACATCGCCAAAGGCAAGGGAAACAAGGGCAAAAATGAACTATTGGGATTTCATCAAGATAAAAAGCTTTTGCACAGCAAAAGAAACAGTCAACAAAACCAAAAGACAACCGACAGAATGGGAGAAAATATTTGCAAATGACATATCAGATAAAGGGCTAGTATCCAAAATCTTATATAAAGAATTCATCAAACTCAACACCCAAAGAACAAATAATCCAATCAAGAAATGGACAGAAGACATGAACAGACATTTTTCCAAAGAAGACATCCAAATGGCCAACAGACACATGAAAAAGTGCTCAACATCGCTCGGCATCAGGGAAATCCAAATGAAAACCTCAATGAGATACCAACTCACACCAGTCAGAATGGCTAAAATTAACAAGTCAGGAAACGACAGATGTTGGCGGGGATGCGGAGAAAGGGGAACCCTCCTACACTGTTGGTGGGAATGCAAGCTGGTGCAACCACTCTGGAAAACAGTATGGAGGTTCCTCAAACAGTTGAAAATAGAGCTACCATACGATCCAGCAATTGCACTACTGGGTATTTACCCCAAAGATACAAATGTAGGGATCCGAAGGGGTACGTGCACCCCAATGTTTATAGCAGCAATGTCCACAATAGCCAAACTGTGGAAAGAGCCAAGATGTCCATCGACAGATGAATGGATAAAGATGTGGTATATATACACAATGGAATATTATGCAGCCATCAAAAGGAATGAGATCTTCCCATTTGCAATGACGTGGATGGAACTGCAGGGTGTTATGCTGAGTGAAATAAGTCAATCAGAGAAAGACATGTATCATATGACCTCACTGATATGAGGAATTCTTAATCTCAGGAAACAAACTGAGTGTTGCTGGAGTGGTGGGGGGTGGGAGGGATGGGGTGGCTGGGTGATAGACATTGGGGAGGGTATGTGCTATGGTGAGCGCTGTGAATTGTGCAAGACTGTTGAATCACAGATCTGTGCTTCTGAAACAAATAATGCAACATATGTTAAGAAAAAAGAAAAAGAAGATAGCAGGAGGGGAAGAATGAAGGGGAGTAAGTCGGAGGGGAAATGAACCATGAGACGATGGACTCTGAAAAACAAACTGAGGGTTCTAGAGAGGAGGAGGGTGGGGGGATGGGTTAGTCTGGTGATGGATATTAAAGAGGGCACATTCTGCGTGGAGCACTGGGTGTTATGCACAAACAATGAATCATGGAACACTACATCAAGAACTAATGATGTATGGTGATTAACATAACAATAAAAAAATTAAAAAAAAGTCACACAAAAAATCTTACAACAGTGTATTAATCATTATTAGTAGTTTGGCAATCATTTCTTCATACACATACACACACTAGTCCCAATACATTTTCTAACTTGCAATTTGTTCACAGGACAGTTACTGCTAATATATTAGCATTGTAACAGGCACTTTATTGAATTTTTACTGTTTCTAATGGCTTTTCAATTTGAGTTTCTTGGGTTTTCTAGATATATAATCACATCTATGCAAACAAAGACAACTGTGGCTCCTTTCAAATGTTTATATTCTTTAATCCTATTAATTTGCACTGGCTAAGATTTCCAGAACAATAGTAAGTAATAGTGGTGACAGTGAACATTCTTATTCCCGACTTTACTGGAAATGCAAAACTCATTGCTATACTGATTCTATCTTAGGCAATAATTCATTCATATGAAAACTATGTAAAGAACATTTCTCACCTTGGTTTTATACTAAATAATAGAGAGTAACATGGTTTTTGTTAATTTGTAAGTTACTTTATTTAATTACGTAAATATTTTTTATTTAATTTTTTAAAAGATTTTATTTATTTATTTGATAGAGACACAGCAAAAGAAGGAACACAATCAGGGGGAGTGGGAGAGGGAGAAGCAGGCTTCCTGCTGACGGGGAGCCTGATGCAGGACTTGATCCCAGGACCCTGGGATCATAACCTGAGCAGACGCTTAACAACTGAGCCACCCAGGTGTCCCTAATTACGTAAATATTTCTAACATTATTTCATCTTTACCAGAAGCATAATAAAAAGGTATACCAACCTCTCCTGCTGACAACTTCTCTCTTACATTTTTCCAATAGATGTCTTTATTTTCAGTGTCAGTGAAGAAAAGTAGCCACTCTGCAAAGTCTTCTTTTCTCATGAAACTCAAACCTTTAGAAAACTGAAGGAATTCCATTTCTTGGACCTCTGTTTGTAAATTCTCCATAAATCTAAATGTTAAAATATAAAATTGATGTAAGGAACTAGTAGCATTCAAACTTAGTATTGTAAATAGGATTGCAAAGCACCTTCAGCAAAACCTACTGAGTAGCTGGCCTCTTCAAATGTTGAGTCAAACAAAGTATTAGTGCTGTGCAAGGAGTGGGGGAGTAGAGGATGCAGAGAAGCTGATTAAGTCCGATACTTGCTTCAATCTGTCACTCCCTATACTCTATTTGTTTATGCAAATTATACTTGGCAACCCATATTCTGATAAAGATTTACAAAATTATGTAAAATTTTGCTCTGATGTATCTGTAACAATTTTTTTCCAACACAGAAAAATTATCCATAATCAGAAAAACTTAACATTCAGTTGGGCTACCGTTTTTAAAATGTTAATCATAATTAATGGTTAATGTTTTTCAGATACCAAAGTTGATTAATGTAGTCAATGGCTTTGTATCAAAATCTTAGATTTACCTAAAAATATTTATAATCATTTGGACAGTAACATATGAATAAATGACTCAACATTCTTTTAAAAATAAAAACATGGCAGTTTGATCAAACGGTCATCAACAGCTCCCTGAGAAAAGTACAGGTTAAAAGGATATCAGATTTAAAAAAATCTTTGAACAAGAACTCAGAAATGCTGCAATTGATTTATTTATAACCTAAATCATATGAAAAGTAGTATCTCCATGTGTTTTAACATGTTGCAAATAGTTTTATTCACCTTTCTACATGTTAAAAATCTGTCATGTCACAATTTAATGGAATTATATGGGGGGTGAAAAATCTGTCTATTGCAGTTCAGTGGGAGAAAAACTGCCACTGTTCAAAAACTACTTGCTTTCGGCTCTACATTTATCCCATAAACCTTAAAAGCATGAAGGGGGAGTTTGATTTTAGGCTTCTGTGTGATAGGTAAGAGTTTGTTACCTACAACATTTTCTGAATGTACTAGGATATACAGATTTATCAATGCCATGTGTCTTTCTGGGTCAAGGCAGAGGTTTGTCTAAAATATGAAGCATTTCCAGTTTGGGTTGATAGATCGATGAAATCTTTTACTGATATGCCTTGTCCTTTGTTTTACTGAGTTTTATTATACCATGCACTGTGAGAAAATTCAACTTACTAGGATTGTTAAAAAAAATGCTTTACTTGCAAATGAGTGTACAGTGAATTTAAGAAAGTAGAGAATATGGTATAAACACATTACTAACTCGCTCCTTTTCTTTTTCTTTTTCTTCAGGCCCTGAGGTTGAAATATTATAAATTTAACTGCTGTTAAACTATACATTGTCTGGTTTAAGCTACTTTCATCTTACTAACTATACTAGTTTTGATGAACATAAGTATATTTTAGGAAAACCATCTTTCCTTAACTCTAAAATTATAGATCTTGTTATGACTTGAAAATCTTGGAACATGATTACTGGACATAAATATATGAATTGAATTTATAGTAAATAGAGTCACCAGATACATTCTGAACAAATTAAATAGATTATAAATTAGTGGATTAATTGGAACAATGGGAAAAAAATCTGATTCTCATCTTTTTTTTTTTTAATTTTTTAGGTTACAGGGTGCTGGAGCTGGCTCCTACCAGCTCTGAGAATCCATTGTGCACATGTTTTTCCACCTCTATTTCATGTATGACAGCTTGAAACTGGCTTGGTAGAATATATACATTACTCACTGGTAAATGCTACAAATCAGGCTGCTCTTCCTGAGAGCAGATTGTTAAACTTATTTATTAGCACACCACTGCTTATAGACATCTTTGAATTTATAAAAAACTCCTCATGAATTTAGAACATCCTCAACTAATTGGCATTTCTGAATTAAAGTACATCAGGAACATGGCACATACACACAAAATCTACAGTTACATACGGATCAATTCCCTGTGAAAAAGACCTGAAAACTAGCTGAAGAGCAGATAAAAGGTCCATATTGTGTCTCTGTAAAAACCCCACCCCAGGACAACCAATCAGGCTGGATCTCACAAATAAGCAGTATATCCCTGAGGAGTAATGGTCCTACTCTACATCAGGCACCCCAACCTTTGGCACCTACACTGCAGAGAAAAGCTCCCAAAACGTATGGCTCTGAAAGCCAATGGGGAAACAAAAACAGTGGGAAGAGAAATGTAGAAGAAAAGGCCCTAAAGAAAATAGAAAAAAGGAAAAAAGAGACTGGAAAAACAGAGGTAGTGATGCAGAGTCAGTAAGGGCCATCAACAGTTGTCTAAGTAGCCTGAGCATCATTTTCTCCCCCCTGAGCTATATATATGCTGATACAGAATGGATTTTTCACAATTAAATTACCTGTTGATTTCATAACAATGAATAAACACTGACATTCCAGCAGACAGAGCTTAAATTATACTTTAGTTTTTCTTTAAATGGCTAAGAGGGGGACACCTGGGTGGCTCAGTCGTTAAGCGTCTGCCTTCGGCTCAGGTCGTGATCCCGGGGTCCTGGGATCGGGCCCCGCATCGGGCTCTCTGCTCGGCAGGGAGCCTGCTTCTCCCTCTCCCTCTGCCTGCTGCCCCCCATACTCATGCTCTGTTAAATAAATAAATAAATAAATAAATAAATAAATAAATAAATAAATAAAATCTTAAAAAAAATATAAATGGCTAAGAGGTATTTCAGTCTTTTCACTGTAAAAAGCCAACCAAACCAACCCAAAAAACAATAACCCGAACAAATCACAAATTTATCCACATACTCTGTCATTAACTGATAAGTTTCTCTTGACATGTGGTAGTATCTACTTAACGCATCTTCTATCCCTCTGGTCACCTGGTCTAGTGCTAGGTCCTTGAAAGCCCATTCACTGTACCTAACCACCTACCAGGGAACTGTGGGACTAATTCTTTCAGAAACTTTGTGACCATTTAAACCTTTTAAGAGAAACCTGGGTCTGAATTTCTAAGACCTGTAACCCTGGACCAAGTCCCTTTTTAATCTCATCAAATTCCAGCTGTAAAAAGGGAAGACTCCTATCTGACTTTCTAAGGATAGGTGAAATAATAGATGTGAAATTACTCAGACAAATGTCAGGCATGTAGTGATGGCACTGAGTCTGCAGGTAACCACCCTCCCTTTTCATCCTTACTCAAGCCCAGACTTAGTATCAAGAATTAGCTACTAAATTGCTTCAGCCACTCTCTTACCCTCAGCTCCCTGTGGCTGTTGAAGGCCTTCTTCAAGGGCAGCCTGAAGAAAATCATACTATTGCGCACAGTGACACCTGCAGAAATTAATGGTCTACACCTGTAACTGGGTCTTCAACCCTGCCAACACCCTGCTGCTAGGCCAGAGAGCTCTCTTTATTTCACATGGTGGCTATTTCAATTTGTTTACTTTCTCTACAAAACTATCTCACTGGCTTTCTATTTGTCCTCAGCAGATGACTTGCCCCAACTTCTCAGAGAAACTAGAGGTCACTACTTAGGAAATTCTCTCATTTTCTTTCTATCACTCTAGGAATGTAACAGCACACATCCCCATTCTCACCACTGCCAATCTCTTTTCTGTCCTAGTGAAAAGGAGGAGTCCCTTTTCCTGTTGATGGCTACCTGTGCTCTGAATTCCACCTATATTTCTCTAGTTCTTCCTTCTCAGGAGGCTTGCTCCTCTGGACTCCCATTCACTCCTGCCATTGTCTTTCCCTCTTCATATCATCATTTAAATATGTGGGGAAACCTTTCTTACATTCCCTTTCTGCTACTGCCCCCTCTCTTCCTTTGCTATAGTCAATCTCCTTCAAAGAATTACCTGTATTTCTTTCTCTACTCACCCCTCACTCACTGCTCAACCCACTGCAATTTGCCTTTGGCTCCCACTGACCACATCTACCCTACATTCATCATTTTCTTTCCTAAACTTGTTCTTACGTGTGTTCTCTAGCTCAGTGAATAGGTATCACACATTTCATTGGCTCCACTCAGAAACCAGGCAGTAGCTTAGATTTCTCCTCATTTACTCTTCATCCAGTCACCAATACTATTAAGTCCCTTCTCCTAACTAATCCCTCAGATTTCTCCACTTCCTTTCTGTTCCTACTGCCACCACCCTGGTCTAATTATTATCCTTTCTTCTCTATTAATGCAATAGTCTCTAACAGATCTCCTTGCCTTTTGTCTGATTTCCTTAGCCAATCTGCTGGATCTGATGTTCACCTTACTTCCCTGCTTCAAGGCCTTCACAGCTCTCTGTTGTTGTTGGCATGGCACAAAAGCCTTCACAACTGTGCCCGTGTTGACCTTCCCACCTTTATCTCTCACATTTCTGATTAAGTCACAATGAACTTCTAATTTCCGAATCTGCCATGTCTTCTCCTGCGTTCAGACATATTATCTATTTAGTACTCATTGGGTTTGCGTTAACACTGACTTGATAATTCCTGCCAATGTTATGCAGATATGGGTTCTTTTCCTGAGAAATTAAAAACACGAACTATCTGAACAGAGCAGTAGTCTATCTACATTACGTCAGTTAAATTATTCTGTGGAATGACAATAGACTTAAAATATTTCTGAGAATTTTTTTCTAACTTAAATTCACTGCGTACTGACAGTCCCATACCATGGACCTATCTAGTACAGGATATTCTGTATATTGTCAGTTCGTAATCAGAATTCTGGGCCAAAGAGTTAGATAAAAACATCAATATTTTGTAAAGTAAAATTTGACCCAAAGATTTAAACAAAATTATGTTTTATTGGACTATAAAACAGATTTTTAAATAACTGCTTTTTCCTTAGTGTAAAGTCTACAGGTGCTAAGGGATGTTTTTGTTCCAGAAACTTCTAAGTTCTTTTGTGTGAAGAATTTAAACTTATAATTTAAGAATTTAAATAATGCATGAAACAAAATCTGGAATATTGATTAAATATATCAATACTTTTTCCTACTGATAAAAGAATAGAATGGAATAAGCATTGCTAAAAGAGTCACTTAAAATGGAGTTGGGAGGATGCTAAAGA